TCACGACGGGACAAATTGATCACCGGACAGTGTGCGGCAACCGGTTTTACGTCACCGCTGGAAAGGTGAAAGACCAAAAGAAGCACGCGCAGAAGACGAGAGGCAAGAAATAGCCCAGAGGGACCGTTGCGGACCACGAGAAAAAGGGACATAGTGTGCCAAAGCCCAGCAAGTGGCAAGAGCCCACGCACAGTCTAGCAAGTGCGAGGTATTGGGGCGTCTCCAGCGTCCAGAAGCTGCCTGCTCCAACGGCCAGTATGGCAGAACCAGTGGCAAGTTTCGAGGGGTTTGAGGGATTTGAGGGGTTTGAGGGGTTTGAAGGGCAGGCCCCGATGTCTAACGTCGCTCTTGGATCCCGTAAAAAAAAACACATTTTGAAGCAGCCTCGAGCAAGCCCCTTCTGGCAAGGTTCGAGGCTTTTGGGGGATTTGAGGGGTTTGAAGGGCAGGCCCCGATGTCTAACGTCGCTTTTGGATCCCGTAAAAAAACAAAAACACATTTTGATGAGGGATTTGAGGGGTTAGCGGGGTTTGACGGGCAGGCCCTGATGTCTCACGTCGCTTTCGGATCCTTTAAAAAAACATTTTGGAGCAGCCTCGAGCAAGCCCCTTCTGGCAAGTTTCGAGGGGTTTGAGGGATTTGAGGGGTTTGAGGGGTTTGAAGGGCAGGCCCCGATGTCTAACGTCGCTCTTGGATCCCGTAAAAAAACATTTTGAAGCAGCCTCGAGCAAGCCCCTTCTGGCAAGGTTCGAGGCTTTTGGGGGATTTGAGGGGTTTGAAGGGCAGGCCCCGATGTCTAACGTCGCTTTTGGATCCCGTAAAAAAAACACATTTTGATGAGGGATTTGAGGGGTTTGCGGGGTTTGACGGGCAGGCCCTGATGTCTCACGTCGCTTTCGGATCCTGTAAAAAAACATTTTGGAGCAGCCTCGAGCAAGCCCCTTCTGGCAAGTTTCGAGGGGTTTGAGGGATTTGAGGGGCTTGAGGGGTTTGAAGGGCAGGCCCCGATGTCTAACGTCGCTTTTGGATCCCGTAAAAAAACAAAAACACATTTTGATGAGAGATTTGAGGGGCTTGCGGGGTTTGACGGGCAGGCCGTGATGTCTCACGTCGCTTTCGGATCCTGTAAAAAAACATTTTGGAGCAGCCTCGAGCAAGCCCCTTCTGGCAAGTTTCGAGGGGTTTGAGGGATTTGAGGGGATTGAGGGGTTTGAAGAGCAGGCCCCCATGTCTAACGTCGATGTCTAACGTCGCTCTTGGATCCCGTAAAAAAACACATCTATCTGGCGCGCCATCTCCGGGGCCGCTCCGTGCGCCCCCACACAGCAGACCATGCTCGAACCCTCCACACCCTGAGCACTCGTACCTTCTCTCACGCGCTCCCCTTGCAGTCGCAAGGGGTCGGCGGATATATCTATAAATTGAAATATAATGAAATGTATCTATAAGTTGACCAAGTGAAACACTTTTGGACTTGTCAGCCTCGTTTGTTGGGCAACTGTCATTTGTCAGGGAGCGCAGATCCGCAGAAAGGTGAAGGGCAAGGCCAAGGCCATGCACTGGAGAAATGTTACGACTAAAGAAAGACTGATGATGAGTCTTATGCGTGATGAGATGAACATGTCTTTGGAGGGAGAGAAAATAACCAGCCTAATCTTTAATGCCAACCTGCGTTCCTTTGGCTAGAATTTTGTTCCCTTGCAGATGGTTTGCCCTCCAATGGTGGCCAGCCAGGTTCTCACTGACAGCAGCCAGGATGACTTCATGGGAGATGGCAGGCCCTGGCCTTAGAGCAGAAGGACAGTGACATGCAGACAAACTCGAGAGTTTGCTCGCTATTTGTGTGCCTGAACGTAGACCGCATACCCACCACAGTTTCAGTCTTGTTCTCTTTTACAAGGCTGCCACTGCCTGTTGACTCTCATTACTCATGTGTAAATGCTTTGTGAAATTTACTGTACTCATTTCCTGAGGATGGACTTCGGGCGCGAGGAGCGATTAAACAGCAATCTCAGACTTCATCCTGTTTTGATTCCACCCAATTGTATTGGGTAGAGTTTGTGCAGATGGGTGCAGTCAACTCTCATAGTCATAGGGGAGGCTCCTATACCTTGGCAAAATAAACAGCAGGAGGGTGAACCATTGATTCCTGCCTGACCATCCTTTGTAGTAAGTTTGGGAGCGCAATAGTTGCTTCGGCAGAAGTTCCAGGGAAACGAGAACCGGAGAAGAGCACGGGCTAAAGCAAAGGCCGGGTGTTGTATGAGACAACTTGTGCTAGTGCAAAGCTGTGCACATGAGAACGTTTCCTACACTTGTCCGCAGTCCACATCATTGTTTTGTTTACAGGTGACGCCCAGATACAATGGAGAGCTGGATGCTGAGTTTTGTTGCATACAAATTGCCTACAACGCGCCCACAGTTGTGATTAGCATCCATGCATGTGACAGCTCAATGTTTGTTCATGTTTGCTGCGTACTCCAGCCTTGAGTCTACCAACATTAGGAATATCGTCATGCAGTTGCTTGAGCTTCCAGCATCCTGCTTAGATAGAGCACGAGAGAAATTGTACACTCACAAAGCACTGCCCTGGGACTTGTTTGGCTGGACAGTGCTAGTTCTGTTGCGTAATCCGCTGAGGTGCTTCAACAAATGGCCTCCTGCGGGGTTGATGGAAATGCACCATGGATGCACTATGGTTAAGACACTGGAGCTGGCAGGGAATAGAACAAATCCCTCAACGCTGCCACTCCGAGCGTCCACCATACAGCATGATGGCTTGGGACAGATTTCTGACATGAAAGCACCACACAACCTACAAGTATTGAGAACAATTCTATATGAATTATGACTCCATCTAAAACAGCAGTGCCAGAGAACGGTGAACGCATTGCACCCCCGGCCACTTTGGGTCACTCGCACCATGAAGGTCGAGCATCAATTTTGAATTTTTGCCGTTCAGCCTTGTACATGAGCTCCGGAGCTTCTTTTTGTTACATTAAACCATATGCTCCAAAAGCCGGCGTTTGCTGCCACAATGAGCCATGGAACTGGATCGAAGCAAAGTGGAAGAGTGCTTCCAGGTTCTGGCATTGGAGGTGTGGCATGACGTTTTCCGGGCGGAGTTTTTCTGGCGCATCGCGACCACACAGTTGCTCAGCCGAGTGTGGCTCCCGCTCCAGGTGCCTGCCCGGCGAACTGGTGAGTTTCTGAAGAGGCCGACAAAACATGCAAGTATGCAAGCATGGCTTGCAGCAAAAGAGCAGCAGAGAGCAGGGTGTGACATGATGATACAGGATTGGACTTCCAGTGGAGAAAGCCTCACTTACCTGATTTCATCAGGCTGGGACAACATTTGCTGAACTTGCCGCGGAGAAAGAATGTCGAGCCCGGATACCCAGGTTAGCCGCAGCAACATTACATGGAGGTGCGGTTTTGGAGCAGGAGAAGAGTGGATCACATGGTTTGTGGAGTACTCCAGTACTCCATCAAACCTCTGAGCCTCTGACAAAAATGCATTCTCAGACCAAAACTCTGAGTGACCTGGATACCCAGAGTCAAAGCTAAAATAAGCTGGTCATTTGAGACGTGAACGATTTCGAGATATGTCTTCTGCACCTATTGCAAGATTCTGCCAGGTCTGCTTCTGGTGGCTCCAAGCTGATCCTCCTCTCAAGGAGCCAACTAAGGGAGAATGTGTTTGAGATTCCTTGTGCAAAAACGCAAGGATGAGTTTGTGTAATGCTGTAAGTTTATTTGAGATATGTATACTTACATGCAAAACTATGGTACTTGCACCTCCGGATGTAAGGTATGTAGAAATTCTCTTGGAACATGAGGATCTTGTTTTCAGAAACCTTAAGCAGGACGGCCTTCACAGGGTGGCCTTTACTTTTTCGTCGATCCGCCAGGACGGTGTCAGATATCAAGCAACTTCCTGAACAAGAATGGCTCCAAGAACAGGTCACTTCGGGTGCCGTTTGCCTCTCAGAGCACCATGCATGCCAACATGTGCACAAAACCATAACACACCTGGGCTTGAATTCTTTGTGCTGCCCTTCTTTCCTGTGCTTCTCGTACCTGTATTTGCTACTTCCACTGTCCCGGGATCAAGCTCTGAAGGACATGTGAGACGATACTGAGGTGAAGCTCTCGACCTTCGAAGTCACTTTGGGTACCTTGCCTGGGTATATCGCAGTCACAGCTTTGTGTTCAAACAGACCGATGTCATTTGATGTCTTGTTTCTCTATGTACTTTACTTTTTAAAACAATTTTTCAATGGCTTTCCGAAGTGTCTTTAGCACTTGGACCAGGCTACGAACACTTCACCGCAGAGGAAGTCTTGAGGAGTCATCTGAAGCGAAGTTCTGAAGCGAACTGCGCTGACTTTTCACTCTGTGCCTTCCTCCCACACCACTGCGCCACTTTCCTCCATTCCACCACTTCCCTCACCGACTAGGCCCCGCTATTCGGCGTTCATCTATTTTCCGCTAGAATCAGAACAGGTCAGTAGCACTTGGATTTTGAACTGCACCAAACCTTTTGGCTTTCAGCGAGGAAGCTGCTGCCTGCTGGTATGGAGATCCCTTCTTCGTTTGAGCAAGCTGGGCATGTTGCCCATCTCAATCTTCGGGCTGCTTGGCAAATGAGATTTGTCATGATTTGTCCAAAGTCCGGACTGATCCCTTTTTGAAGCGTATCTTGAATGCGACTTAGTCGCTCAGAACTTTACAGGGCAGGATTGCAAGCATTGAACGCTTTGAACCGAAGATTGGGTGAGTATTTTGGGAAGCGTTTGAATCTTGTCCTTTGTGCTCTCTGAGGACTCGCAGCTGCCATTCAAGAACCTCATAGGCCAAGTCATCCTTGACAAGAACAAGTCTGTCGCCGACTCAATTGTATTCTTGAACCATCTTGAACCTATCTGAGGGGTTATGATGTTGGATGTTTCATTCGTATGAGCTTGCACGTCGTAAGATCACATGAGTCCGATTGGAAGATCTTGGAGTTCCGACAGCTTTTTAGATCTTTTTAGTACTTTTTTAATGCTTGTCATGAAGAGAGAAGACAGAGGTAAAGACCGTGGTCAACAAGACGGGCAAGATTGAAACAGTGTCTTGGATCAAGAAGATGCTTCTATCGAAGAAGCTTGGCTCAATTTGTGCCTCTTCCAGGAGTTTCGGACCTTTCCCATGGAGCGCCTTGCTGGAGAAGAGTCCACTGTTGTGCGACTGAAGGAGCATCAATGCATTTTTGAGCAACTTGGCAGACTGATTCGTCCGCAGCTCTTGAAGAGCTCCTTTTTAGTTGTGCTTCCTGATTCCCAAGCCATGGGATCAGAGAAAACGGTTATATAAGTGGTCTTCTGCTCATGTTTGCTAGAGGCACTTTGGTCGTTTGACCCACAGCCTCCAACGAAACAAGTAGACTGATCATCCGCTCTTCATAGCTTCATAAGAATTGCTCATTTACACAATTTGTATGTGCTCACGATTGGAGTTCCCCACAGGAAAATCCTAAATAGCTCAGGTTCGAATACCAAGATGTCTATTGGAACTCTCGATTGCAGGAGGAGTGCCTGCTGCAATGTCGGAAGTGCTTCGCTGGGGGCCCTTCCGACATTGCAGAGACGTGAAGCTCTATAAACCAAAGAGCTGTGGGCCTCATCAATGTCAGATCTCTCGCCGCCAATGTTGAAATCTTTGACCCCTGGAGCAAAGTCTTTGGTCCTTCAATATGACATTTCACAAACATGGAACCTGGCAGGAGCATGGTCGCTTGATAGAGGCCTTGTTTCTCCAACCTTCTACAGCCACAGCTACAGCGCAGCCAGTTCTGGCAGATTGCACCTGTGGGGTCACACAACAGCATTGAACCTTTGTGTTCCAACGCAGTATGTGCCACAACGGTTCTGTCGAGGTTGCCAATCGATACCCATTTTTGAGGTTGGACCATTTTCTATACCCATCGTGAAGCTGGCCAATGGGGTGGTTTGTCATGCGAATGACTTGAATCCCTCATCAATCCATTGGCTTCTCAAGAGTGTGGAGCTGAACAAGTTGCCTTATGCCTGAGACATAGCACTGCAAAAGATTGGACAATTTTTTCAGGACTTTTGGTGCTGACTATCCTTTGGGACACGAAGCCAAGGTGATGGATGTGGATGAGCTGCCTTGCTACGGAGAGGAGTTTCAAGCACCTTCCGTTGGTTCTCTCCTGGTCAGTCACAAGCCTGGCGATGCTCGGGAATTCATTCCTGAGCTCTTCAACAAGAGGAGGGCCAGTTGGGGGGTGGCGGGTTTCTGTTTCTGTATATGGAGTCCCATATACCTCGTTTCCTTTGGTAATGTGAAGGCTGACATCTGCAGATGCTGTTGTCTAGACAAAGCTGGTTTTTGAGGCAAAGACTGTTTGCTTCCGAACGACTGACTTTGAGACTACTCGTGGCGACTGACTACTGTGCTTGGTTTGTTTGGAGACTACAAACGAGTCAGCTCTGCGTCTTTGTGCATCACAGGCATCCGGTGACGCATGCCATTTTCAATCTGCCAGCTGCTGGAGTCGAACTTCTCGATTGCTTTCGTGGCCTCAACTATGTGAAGTTTGGCTTGCCCAGACCCTTAGAAGCTTTTCTGAATTCACGAGTACTTGGACATGGTCCACTATATAACATCGTACAAACAGATACTGTATACATATGGTCCAATTGTCATAATATCTCTTGCTCTCCAGGCACGCGTTTTAGCATTTTTTGAGCCTCGTCTAGGTATGCTGCTATACCTTCAGTGATGCAGCAGTGGATTCGGATGGTGCTGATGGATGCGTTTCTGACCTGCTGAATCGGCTTGGGAAGGCCTTAGCGCTCACTCCCGCACCTTGACGAAACAAACTGGCTGGATTGGTGAAACGGAGTGTTTTTGTTGAGCGCTATGCTATATACTAGGGAGAAGCAATTCAAGAGCTAAGGTCCCTTTCAGAGGTGTTCTTGTGAGGGATACTCGTACTTGTTGGACTTGGTATCATTCCACACTGACGAGGAGCGGATGCACTACATAGATTCCGGGAGGGGCCGCCTGCCATTGCCATCACCTGAAGTGAGCAAAATGGTGGACGAGGCAAGAGGTGTTGGGAAAGGATGCATCAAACAGCAAGAAGCAATGTTGGGACTGTTGGTCAAGTATTGTTTGCATAAACGTTGATGTCTTGAACAGAATGGTGTGCTCAAAGGCCTTCCTGTCAGCAGAGAGAATCTTCGCGGCAATTAAGCCCTTCCTCGATGAAGCAAGCCCGCTTGAGCATATGAAATCGCATAGCTATGGTCTAAACCCTGTTGAATAGCGTCCTTGCTCCTAGTAGCGATGCCAAGCCCCTAGTAGCTTCTTGTCACTACTATTAAGGCCAGGAGCCCCTAGTAGCGTCCTTGCTCCTAGTAGACGTGGTGTTTGGGGTGCCCGTCCAGTCCCGTTTTGCATCCCTCTGAATAGATGTCAAACTGCCTCAGCAAGCCAAGGTCAGCAGATTTCTGTTTCCGTGCGGCTGGTACGCAACGTTGCTCCCACACGACACATGCGCCCGAGTTGCAAATTCCATTGGTTCCCATGCGATGCATGCGCCGCGAGTTTCGCTCGAGAGCTCCGGCAAAGGTTCTGTGTTTGCTTTCGCTGTCCGGTTCTGCAGTCCGACGCTGATGAGGTGGCGGACGCAGGATAGTGCTTGCACTATTCATTTGGTTCTTAGATTTACTTCTTTGAACAACATCAAACATGTCTTTATGCTGTGTTGGGTCGTTTCGAGTTTGCCGCATTTCTAGACAGCCAGAGCTGCTTTGACATGTGTGGCTGTAGCCCATGGTGAATGGACATGAATGGACTGCATGAATCACCAGCAATCTTCATTGTCGATAGGCGATGCAAGATGCCGTGCCTTGTGAGAAGCGAGCGAAGCTGGCTGAATAGCAAAATATGGCGAGTGCTTGCATGGGAACCAGACAGAAGCAGACTTGAGAATCTTGAGAGACCAAATCGCAAACCACTTTGAACACTGCAGCACTGTTTTGAAAAAGGCAGGCATTTCCCATCTGCTTCAAGCTCGAGTATTTGTTTGTGAAAGTGCCCATGAGCTTGAGGTGATGACGTGGGACGTTTGTGGCCTCAGCAAGGTCAGTACGAGCAATTTGTGCCAAGAGGAAGACTCCGGGGCGCGGACATACTCAGCTAGCTGAAGCTCTACACGGCAAAGCTGAACGGCTCAATGGCTCAACATTCGCAAAACCAGAAGCCGGTATAGCAAAGCCGCTGAGGTCTTCACGGGCATGAGGAAGCGAACACTTCGGGGCCATGAGATGGGTGTTCGAATCCAAGACGACTGTTGCCAGTCGTGGTTTCAAGCTGCAAGGCTTTGGGGCCCACAGCAACCGGCCTTTCCAACCTATGCCGGCCATAAGCCTCGTTGTGTATGTCAGGTCCGGTGCATGGCCTTTGCGACTTCGACAAAGGTCCTGGTCACGGGTGGTTATGACTACAATCTCTTCGCCGGAGACCTAGACCACGGAGACCACGAAGACCACGCAGTCGATGTAGATGAATCTGAGGTCTGGAACCCCTATGTGGGTAAGTCCATCCACACGATCCATGCCTCAAGCTTATTGGAGCAACGAGAACTCTTTGTCCGGAACTCTTTGTATTAATCACTTTAAATGGATCCTTCTTGTTTGACAAAAGGTTCCATTCCAAAGACTCATCGACCTAAACTGTCACGCGTGTTCCTATATTCCGTGTTCACAGTAATGGTTTGCTCGTCTTGGTTATGTCTTCGTGCTCCCAGGGCCACTCAGCTCCCATTGTGGGCATAGAAGTGCTTGGAGCCTCTTCAAACCAGGCGTGACATCTGTAAGTTGCTGTTGGTTGCTTCATCATCGCATCATCTGCAAGTGTTTTTTGCTTTGTTTTACGAAAGAAACAAGGCTCAAGAGGTCAGTGACACGGGACATGCGTGACCAATAGGTTTCCCACGACACACGAGGTCGGGACTCGACACGACTTCAGGTGGTGAGCGCAGATTCTGAAGGTTTTGTGAAGACCTGGGATCTTGGAACCTACCAGCACCAAGCTTAGCAACTCGCAAAGACTCCTGGCTCTGAGCTCGACTCTGAAAAAAGTATCTCGGACTTTGAATGATGTAACAAAAGGATCATAAAGGCAATTGTCGCGGCGAATTATTCCATTCTAGAAGCTGCAGTGAGGATGATCCAATCCTTTGTCGTGGATGAGATCACGCTTCAACCTCAACAGACGCTCCGGTGGTTTCACGCATGCTGTTGTCTACATCGATTTTGCGACATGTCTCAACCAGCGCGACATTTCTGTGCCAAGGATTCTGCGTGCCTTTGTTTCCATCCCCAGTTCAAAGAGGGTCATTGCCGTGGATAGAGAGTCACCAAGCTGCAATGACGTTTGAATTGGACAAAGCGCTGTGATTCTTGGCCTGTCGCAGCGCTCCTTTGCCTCATGTGAAGGTTCGTTGCCTTTGACTACCAGAATACAGGGATTGCGGACCAAACTGAAGAAGAGCCCCTGATCAAGGCGAGGTAGACGGCTTGCTCAAAGTGGTTCTGCATAATATAATTGAAATAATTTGAAATTAAGATGTCTTCAGTCTTCAGTCTTTCTCTCACTTTCTGGCTCATGTCATGTAGGTCTTCTACAATGAGCGACTGAAGGTTGGCCTTGGGAAGCTCAGTTCAGTGGAACTCCTGCAGACCTTGGTGCAAGTGGTTGATGCAGCATTTCCGAACATGGGCCGATTTTGGCAGAGAAAGTTATTTGGGAGACGCATCAGACCCTCCAAAAGTGAAAGTCCCACTCTACCCACTGGAACTTCTGCATTAGAGAAAAGAGATTCGATTTCATAGCTTTTCACTATCAAGATCTATCAAGTGGATGGAATAGTGGGACTTCTTGTTGCTGGAGGAGATGACAGGGACGAGGAGGGACCGGATTGGATTGCACTTCAGTCATTGCTGACGGCCGCGAGGTTTTTGTGAGTGGTACGATAAATGCAGTGAAGATTTGGGATGTCTTTGCCTCGGCATCTCTAAAGACAAGGCCACAAGAGAACTTGCACTTCCGGAAAGCTGCACTGACCTGGGCCTAGGCAGTGACTGGCGCAATCAAGGCAGGTGCAGTGACTGGCATACTGTGGCGTCTGTAACGTATCATAGACATGTTGACCAAGAATTGACGGCAGAGGTGGTGATCACGCACAAGGATGCTGAGATCACTGATTTCTGTCCCACACCCAGAACACTCATCAGCTCTCAGTCTCGGATGAGATCTTATGAGCAGTTTTTGTTCCCCACCTGCCAGGTGAGGGTTGTTAGATTTTATCACAGCTGTTCTTCCTTCGCCTCCGCCTCCGCCTCCGCCGCCTCCTCGTCCTCCTCCTTCCTCGTTCCTCCTTGCTTCCTTCCTCGCCAGTCTGCTTCGCCGATCTTGTCTGGCCAGCTCCGGATCGCAGTGTGCACCCCTGGACCTCAACCGCAAGGATCCCCTCGCAGTGTGCAGCCCTGGACCTCAACCGCAAGGATCCGATCGCAGTGTGCAGCCCTGGACCTCAACCGCAAGGATCCGATCGCAGTGTGCACGCCTGGACCTCAACCGCAAGGATCCGATCGCCGTGTGCACCGCTGGACCTCAACCGCAAGGATCCGATCGCAGTGTGCACCGCTGGACCTCAACCGCAAGGATCCGATCGCAGTGTGCACTGCTGGACCTCAACCAGATAGTTTGCCAGATAAAATCCACAAACACACAATCACAAACACACGACCGCAAACGCGCAACCACAAACACACAACCACAAACACAATCACAAACACAATCACAAACACACAGCTACAAGCACAACTACAAAGACACAATCACAAACACATAACCACAAACACAAAACCACAAACACACAACCACAACCACACAACCACAAACACACAACCACAAACACAATCACAAACACAATCACAAATACAATCACAAACACGCAACTACAAACACAATCACGAACACACAACTACAAACACAACTACAAAGACACAATCACAAACACACAACCACAGACACAACCACAAACACACAACCACAAACACACAACCACAAACACACAACCACAAACACACAACCACAAACACACAAACACACAACCACAAACACACAAACACAAACGCACAACCACAAACACACAAACACACAACCACAAACACAACCACAACTACAAACACATAATCACAACCACTACCACCACCACCACCACAAACACAACCACAAACACATCTACAAAACACAACCGCAAACACAACTACAAACACACAATCACAAAGACACAACCACAACCACAACTACAAACACACAATGACAAAGACACAACGGCAACCACAACCACAACTACAAACACACAATCACAACCACAACCACAAACACACAACCACAAACACAACCACAAACACACAACCACAAACGCACAACCACAAACACACAAACACACAACCACAAACACACAACCACAAACACAACCAGAAACACAACCACAACCACAAGTACAAACACACAATCACAAAGACACAACCAAAACCGCAACCACAACTACAAACACATAATCACAAAGACACAACCACAACCACAACCACAACTACAAACACATAATCACAACCACTACCACTACCACAAACACAACCACAAACACATCCACAAACACAACTACAAACACACAATCACAAAGACACAATCACAAACACACAACTACAAACTCAACTACAAAGACACAATCACAAACACACAACCACAAACACAACCACAAACACACAACCACAAACACACAACCACAAACACACAACCACAAACACACAACCACAAACACACAAACACACAACCACAAACACACAACCACAAACTCACAACCACAAACACAACCACAACCACAACACAGCACACAACCACAGCACACAACCCGAGGACCCACAAGCAACATCGAGAAGTACAATACTAACGACTATGGCAACATGCTCCTCACTATGGCATCAAGACAAATGATTGAAATGTCATGGTGGGGATCACTCGAAGTAAAGTAATTTTATTTATTGGTTATTTAATGTTATTTTTGTTTCGCAGGACTTGTTGCAAATGGGCAGGAACTTGGGAACCTCAGGTTTTGATGACAGGGGGCGAAAGCTCTTCGTGTCAGATCACCTTGGGAAAATCCATGTCCGGGTCTAAGCAAACAGAAAGAGACGGAGGAACAGATGAGGACCTTAAGTAGGATGGGGTCAAAAGATACCACGTTCCCATGTTCCTGGGACTTGCCAAGACTGAACTTCTTCAAACAATTGAGACTTGGCGTGGCCGACATTTCATGACCTTCATGACATAAACATGTTGGAACAATGCACAGTTTAACACGCAACCGGCACTGCCTTTTCACCCTTTTCACCCGTTTTTCCTGTTTTTTTTTTGTGTCCAGGTCTACCATTCCTCAACTGGCTGTTTGGTGAAGAAGCTCACCAATCATGCCAAAGAGGCGCCTGAACTTGGGCGAAGTAGAGAACTCATGCTGCATGCGTATGAGGCCCGACCCATTCACCGAGTCAGGTATCAGGCATGATATATTGTCAAGGGGACAAGAATATCATCACTGTGTTGCTTCCTCAGCCGCACGAAGTCGAGAAACAGAGCAACTTACTGGAGGGAATCGGAATCCGATCATATCTTACCAACCTGGAAGGTTTACTTGCTTGCTGCCTCAAGGTCTTGGGACCGCTCTATCGTGGTTCACGATGAGTCAAACAAGACGGAAGTGGTCCATCGAAGGGCTACTAATTCTCACAAGGCGCGCAGCAACGAATCGAATAAGTCTCGCGATTCGTCAAAGACTGGTTTGCCGTAGACGTGCATGGACAACTGTATCGTACACCGATTCTATGACGCTTCAGACCGACTTGTGTTGACTTGACGACAGGGCGACATCACCTGTGTGGCTTACAGGCAAAGTGACGAAACGCAAGTCTTTGCACTAGCCAGATACTGTGTTATTTGTGTCGATAGCACCACTATGTTGTGCGTTGTTGTTTTCGGTTTATTGCAAGCGAATCTGTTGAACTGCCAACCTTCTTCGATCAGTCGCCACTTGGGACTGATCGCGACTGGATCTACAGATTGCGTGATTGCAGTTCGAGAGTGCCATCCCTAGAGACATTTGTATGACCTGTTACCAGCTCTCAATACCCATTTGATGCACAGAAGAATGAGCATTTCATTTGCTAGACCTTTCTTTGTGGTTGAGGTACTTGAAACTCCGAATTCTGGCATGCCTTCTCGGTCATAAAACAGGCGCAATGCGTTGAACTTTCTGCATAATGGGGACTGATACAGCAGCGGACACTTGCCCCCTCGGCAGCTGATTCTGTTGTGGCATATCATACAATTTTGTGTGGGTCTACTGCTTGACAGATGTCACGGCATTGGCATTTGTGGAGCCTCCGCCTCAAACATGTACCAGCTTTCTTGGAATTTGTCAGTTGAAAATGAGTGTGACATTCTTTTTCTATCCTACACCCCAGGCCGTATCCTTTGTTGGTTTCTGCCGATTTCGGTGGAAACGTGGCAGTCTGCATTTCAGATGTGAGAAGGGATTCAACAAGATTATTTGTGCCTGTCCATGAAGCACATATCAAAGAGCCGTTGCAAACTGATCACCACAAAGAACAGATCAAACGCACCAAGTCTTCCAGTGACATGACCGGCGCGACGTGACGACGTGAGGTCTGGGCTCTGCCGACCATCTCAGGAAAGGACCACAAGCTGGGCTCTTGGGCTGTGGCTCGGGGGGCTGTCGCTCCTGGTTTCACTTTTTTGAAGTCCTGGTGACGCTGAGCTCTGCAGGTTTGCCAACAAAGTTCTGCCGCTTGTCTACACTTTTGGAAAGCAAGAGGCTATCCAAGAACCAGCTTCAGGGCAAGTGCGAGATATGAGCCCAAGGGGATCCAAGGTGTAGTTGCCGCCTTTACTTCACTTGCTTTCATGCATCAAAATTGCGTGCTGTCTCCTTGAGTGTGCACAGTATACTGTACTTACACACACAACAAAGATATCGTGGACCCGTTGCCCCCCCTCTATAGATGCTAATGGATGATCATTGAACTAAGTCTTAGTGGTGTCGCTTTTGGATTCTTCAGGACACGCTTTATCAATATGCAGTCCTTGGAGAGCTCTGCTTCGGTAAACTGCCTGGATCCAGTGTGTACACCAGTGGGAGTCTCAGGAGCTTTTTCGCGAAGGCAGATTTCCAGTGGGAGCTGTTTCATAGCGTTTGGTCTGGTGTTTGACCATTTTGGTCGCATGCTTAAGCCCTCCCATTGCTGGGGACGTGTCGTTCCATTCGCAAAGATCAACGACCATGAGCACTCCTTCATGCTGTACACCGGTGATGAGGAGTTGCCTGAAAGATCTGACAGCTTTCCAACCTCAAGACTTCTCGTCGTCGCAACACCTCAAGACTTCGTCTTGGACCTTAATTAGCCTTAGCCACGAAAGGACGGAGAAGTGCGATCTTGGGACTTGTGCCAATCTCAGCTGAACTTTTTTGAAGCCAGGGCATTCTCGTCGTCGCAGAGCGTTTAACTATATTGAACCTCAACCTGCAGGTCCGCTCTGTTGCCTGCTGCTGGAATTCAGAAATGCCCTCCGATTCCAGATGTTCCTTTGCTGCAGCTTTCAACATGCTGCCACTGCACACGTTTTTGATCCCTGAACAATTCGAGGCAGAGTGGGATCCATACAAAAGGGTGGAGAACGACGCATCGCACACAGCAGAGGCTCATACCAGTTCCACTTGTGTATGTGTACATGTGCTGGATCCACATGCATCCTACTGTTGCTTCAACTGCTGAAGATGGAGTATTTAGGATGAGGGTCTTGCACAAGTGAAGCTAACGTCCATACTAAATTCCCTGGACAGACTGTGGCACGGAAAGCTGCTGAAGTGCCAGAGTTGCAAGCACAAATGGCAGATCTCTCAGCACATTTTTCTCGTTGTCAGCGTCCTTATACAGTTCCTGAAGAGACTGATGAATTCAAAGAGTAAGAGTTTGGACCACGGGAATTCTGGAGTGAGAGTCATTCGGCTCTGAGAACCAAGGATCAGCCGTTGGTGCGGCAAGGCATTTCCTGGAAAGCTCACAGCGATAGCCTGCGGACGTTGAAGGCGGTTTCCCGTCTTTTGAAGAACAGCATTGGATTGAGCAGTCCAATTTGCCCAAAGAGATGTGTCCAATCATGTGTGAAGTTTGTGCCGATGCCAGGTCTACAGCAACCCACCGTGTGTGGTGACCGCTGGCCTGAAGCTCAAGGTACTGATGCAAACAAATCACACTTGTAAACAACTGGCATCAACTGGCATATAAAATTAAGTTAGGTTTCCCAATCATTAGTGAGTGAGCTTTCCTGCGTCCATATATAGTAGCTTAAGTAGCTTAAGTAGCGTGTTTAGTCCCTTACTTAATTAAGTAAAGGCCTACTTCATTAAGTAGAATCGGGCTCAAACAAAGTAGCAACACCTGCCTCAACATTCCTCTCTTTTGGGGTACCTGGTGGATCCATTTGTGCTTGAGCAGTCGAAACCGAGGTTTCGACGGTATGGCCAAGATTTGGACCCGAGAAGGAAAGCTGATGTCGGTGCACAGCCCCGGTATCACTTCATTCACTTTTGTTCCAGTTTGCTGTTGTTCGAATGGTTGGTGACTTTGGGATACTTTTGGCACTTTGACATTTTTGGCATGCCTGAAGTAGTTTGCTATCCTTCTTCTACCTGGCAATGTTTGCCTGGGGTTGCCTCAGGTGCTTCGAGCCTACGGGCAGACCATTTGGGATTTCCCAGTGGAGGTTGGGGCGTTTTAATCTGATTCTATCATGTCCCTCCTTGCCCCTAGTAGCGTCCTTGCTCCTAGTAGCGATGCCAGGAGCCCTAGTAGCTTCTTGTTCCTACATAATATGATTGGTGCCACATTTTCCTGATTCCAAGGCACCCACATGTTGCTCTATATATATTAAAAATGGTCTTTACAACTCCAAACTGGATTCCAACTACGGCATTTCTGGCTTTCCATTCCAACCACTGCCTCGTTGGCCGGTTTCCAGATTGGAGAGTTTCCTCACTTGGTGAGACGGGCTCGCACTCATCGGTCTGAGCCGTCTGGAGCTGGGCCGTCGGTTCGGCTGAGCTGCGTAAAAGACATGTCACTTCCCGAAATAGCAATGGTCATTTGAGTTGACCTAACGGAAGAACTCAGCTGTTCATCCGCCACAAATGTTAGGGACAACACAAGAAACAGTTATACAGTTATACATATACATGCTACTCTTTTTAGCCCCCCCATACGGGGCACCGCTTCATTCGCTTTGTGCAGCTTAGATACCCTCACGGCAGCCTGGTTGCTTGGCCGTGCGACCACATGAAAGCAGCAGCTCTCTCTGGCGAGATGGTCGCCCAGGTGAGTGAAGATGAACTCCAAGTCATGGTGGAACAAGGACAAACGATTAGGGACCTCAAGCAGTTCCTGGCAGAACGAATTGGATATTCGCGGTTTCGGCAAAGGCTCTTGACTTTTGTGCTCCTGATGAGGCAGTAGAGGAAGAATTGCTTCGAACATGTGGAGAGAATGATGTAGGCAAACTTGAGCAGCTGCTTCAGAAACCACAAGATCCAAATCGACAAGCCACAATAGCGAGTGGCTTTGCGTGTCCTTAACCCGCGACAGGTTGGGACACTCGCAGCGCTACCCCCCCCCCATTGCCGCCTTTGAAGGCCACTTAGAAGTTGTGCGAATGTTGCTTGAAGCTGGAGCTGACAAAGATGCAGCAAGAGAAGACGGGTTTTCAGCTATGGCTCTTGCAGCTGGGAATGGCCACTTAGAAGTCATTGACCAATTGCTGGAGGTTGGAGCAGACAAAGATGCAGGAAAAGAGACAGGCTCACAGCCTATGCAGGCTGCGGCTTGGACTGGCCACTTGAAGTTGTGCGTCTGTTGCTCAAAGCTGGAGCTGACAAAGAATCAGCAACCAAAAATGGCTCAACGGCTTTGCATCGTGCGGCTGACAGAGGCCACTTGGAAGTTGCGCGGATGTTGTTCGAAGCTGGAGCTGACACAGATGCAGCAAGAGGAGATGGTTCAACGGCTTTGTGTGGTGCGGCTGCACAAGGCCACTTGGAAGTTGTGCGCCTGTTGCTCGAAGCTGGAGCTGACAAAGAATCAGCAACTCAAGATGGTTCTACGCCTTTGTATTTTGCAGCTTGGAAAGGCCACTTGGAAGTCGTGCGCCTGTTGCTCGAAGCTGGAGCTGACAAAGAAAAAGTAAGAAAAGATGGTTCAAGAGCTTTGCATGTTGCGGCTTCCAGAGGCCACTTGGAAGTTGTGCGGATGTTGCTGGAAGCTGGAGCTGACAAAGATGCAGCAAGAGAAGATGGCTCAACGGCTTTGTATTTTGCAGCTGCGGAAGGCCACTTGGAAGTTGTGCGCCTGTTGCTGGAAGCTGCCGCTGATCAAGATGCAGCAAGAGAAGATGGTTCAAGGGCTTTGCATGTTGCGGCTTCAAGAGGCCACTTGGAAGTTGTGCGGATGTTTCTGGAAGCTGGAGCTGACAATGAAGATGCAGCAAGAGAAGATGGCTCAACTTGTTTGGATGTGGCGGCTTCGAACGGCCACTTGGAAGTTGTGCGCCTGTTGCTGGAAGCTGGAGCTGACAAAGAAACAGCGAGAGAGGATGGTTCTACGCCTTTGTATTTTGCAGCTTTGAAAGGCCGCTTGGAAGTAGTGCGCCTGTTGCTCGAAGCTGCGCTGACAAAGAACCAGCAAGCGAAAATTGTTCAAGGGTTTTGTACGCTGTGCCAGGAGCCCCTAGTATTGTCCTTGCTTATATATGATTCTTGTCATTCCTGTCTACTTAAAATTTAGTCGGTCTTGCCGAGTCTTCAAACCTGGCAATTCCAGGCCACAGACCCCTGTGTACCACTGGAGACACAGAATTGGTTACTGCAGAAGGCGCGTGAAAAGAGCATGACTCGACTGCCGTGCTTTGTTTTGAACCTTCTCCAAAGCTGCCATACAGTTCATGTCCTTGCTTTTGTTTAACTCTTTTTTCCCCGCAGGTTCATGAAGTCAGGCACTCAGGCTTTTGGCTTCAACACTGTGAGGCTTTCTTTGTGAAGCTTGTGGACCTTTTAGTTGATACAAAAGCGGGGAGCTACATCGCTGCCCTCACAGACTCAGCCCAAGCAGATTGGAGAGAATGAGCTTGAATGGGTGTTTTCATCGCCTTTCTTGGCATGAGTATGCACAGCTTTGTTTCTCGGTCTGGCTCCGGCTGTGCAGAATCTGGTGAGGCGTCCGAGGAGAAGCCAGTGCGCTTGTCAGATGCAGCTTTCTAGTTGTGTATTGACATAAAGAGTTCGGAGCTTGCCCATCTGGTGCAGGTCGATGGGGCAAGAGAGTCCATCACCAACGGATATCAAAAAGGCGGGCTTATAGTCCTTCAGCTTTCTTCACCAGGTCCATTTTCGGTCTTCGGGAGTAAGGCCAATGATCAGTGAACGTCATTCGCTTCCACCCAGTACTGTACTGTCAACGGACGCCCCTGAAACATGCCATGCTCAGTCTAAGAAATTGATGGCCTTTCCTCCTACCGGGACACCACCTCCACACATTCGCATCCAAAGTAAACACAATGTGACAACATGTACCTGTATAGTATAAGGCACGGTAGCTTGGACATACGACTGGATAATGATGGACAGTGAGCTTGATCACACTTTTTGGTTTACATGGTTGCATAGTGCTTTTAGTGCTTCTTTTCGAGACAGAGACATATTAATTTCAGTTTAGATTCATGTTTCAGGAACTCATGGCAACAAGCACTTCGTGTGAGGGCAAAAGGCGGAACAAGGTGTAAGGTGGATGCTTCTGACCGAGTCTCGATTTTAAAGGGCAACTCGGGACATGCATTTGGTGAAAACAAGCTGTGGCTGTTTCACTCAGCAACGACCAACATTATCTGGTACATAGGACCAGGAGGCTTCCATGTGTCCGTCTGAAACGATTGACGGTGCCGTGAAAGAATCATGGCTGGGAAGCGCCTGGGCTTGGTGGACCCACGTGGATCCTGCGAGAGTCCAAAACAAGTCTGTTTCATCGAGGATGAAGGCGATGTTGGCATATGATTGAGGATATTGGTGGTTATGCTTCTGTGTCGCATTGCAACATTTCCCAGCTCTTAGATTTGACATTCTGCAATCTTCTAGTCTGATATTTTGATAGCATTCCTTTCTGGCGATTGCCTTGAACTAGCTAGCATCAGCTAGCCACCCGACCCACCCATTATTTCCCAGTGGAAACACTTTGCTCTGCAATCGCTGGAGCTTACCTCTGATCAGGCCCGCTTCCTTCGAATTGTCACTCTAAAACCTCTTTGGCCATGGATCCGTACAAAGTTCTCGGAGTCCCAGCAAGCCAGGCGAGTGGCTCAGACTTGTTACTAGTCTTCGTAGTCCAGAAAGTCGGCAGCTGTATCCACAGAACTATCAACCCTGCTGACTCTGACAGACGCGGAAGCCCAATTCGAGTAACCTGAATGCAGGCGATTGTGTCGCTCTCGACCGAGGTCAAGCATCCAAGTGACTTGGACAAAGTGCGTCAAAGAGCCAAAAAGCTGTTCACACCTTAGAATCCGTGATTCGAAAGCCAGCAACAGGTCTGCTGTTGATCAATCAGATCACGTTGAAACTCGACCAGCTTGAATAAAAGAAAATACAGGGTGCCTGTTGTTGTTCAATAATTATCACCGAGTCGAGGTACAAAAGGTATGCATCAGAAAAAAAACAAGTTCCAAGCCAAGAAGGTAATGGAGGCAGCCGTTCAACTTGCTTGTTTTGGATTGCGTACAATTGGTTAGATTCAGATCCTGGGACAGGCTTTTGAAATGGTAAAAGGCAATATGAAGAAGCACTTTGGCTGAGATTGGATCGCTTGCGTTTTGTACTTCCTTGCTGTGCTATCAAGATGTATTTGTCCGTTTCTGGAGGATAGGAGAAGGAGCCTACAAGCTCCTAGGAAGAGGTCGCAAGGAAAGGGAGCCGCTCAGCAGATTATTGGTTGAGTGATTTGAAACGACCTCCTATGCTGAGATGCGAGTGACGTTGACGCACAAGGTTGGACAAACACTTCAACCACCAGTGGGGAACTTGGGCCTTTGTTAAAGCCTGCTCGAGACATGGAATGGGAGCCATGCAGAGATTCAGAAGAATGCCAGGTCGTGTTTGCAATATTTCAGGACCAAAGAAATCAAGAAAGACAGACGTGTCAAGAAGACACTGAAGCAGGCCGAGGGAAGAGGGAACGAGCCAATGAACAGGCAACAATTCATTGACTGTTTGCGAGGCCAGGAAAGGAGAGAAGCGCTTTCACTTGCCTGGTGACAAGGAGCCAACGTAGCACAGAACACTTGATGTTCTGTATGTTCCAGATGTAATATGCTCCACAAGTTCTACAAGTGTAGCCATGTGAGCCTCATGTGAGTCATGTGAGCATTCCTTCTCAAACCACATGAGGAGAGGATCCCAACCTTTCGACGAAGCAAAAAAAGGCGCAGGCGGCAGATGCAGAAGACCTGACCTTGGGCTCTTTTGAGACACAGTTGGGTATCACTCTCACTGGAGCGAAGAAATCGCCAACCTTGTGGCCGTGGCCTCCAAGGATCAAAAAGCCCAACGTGGATGTTTTGCAAGGCCTGGATGTGAGTTGAGACACGCGGAAGCGCACAAATAGCATGAACAACAGGAGTTGCGCCATTTGGTGACCATTTGCAAGTCCCAGGTCTTCAACGTTTAGCTGCGGTATTGCCACAAAGGACCAAGTTTCCAAAGGCAAGAAGCTTGGCTTTCACTGCATCAAGTTGACGCACCATGAGAAAGGAACCATTATCTGACGAAGGTTTGGCTGCCAATTACATAATTAATCCATGATTCGTGGGCAGTAGATGCAGGCATATGAGCCAGATTGCCCCCATGTTTTGTGCAAGTTTTGATTTGTGTCTTTGCCGATTTTGTATTATGGCCCTCTCCAGCTCGTACATGCCTGTTGCTTTGAAGGTGGTGAAGCTGCTTTACAGGTGGACGAAGGCCATTCAGTGTTCTTTGGCCCACTTGACTTCAGAGCTTGCGCAGTGTCACAGAGCTTACGCATCACAATATGAGGAGTACATGAATGTCGACAACCGTGAGTACATTTTTCGGGTGCTCAACGATCTCACAAAGCTGCCGTTCCTTGCAGAGGCGGCAGCTCTTCCGATGGACATTTGATCAGTGATTCCAATGCACTGTTTGTTTGTTCCGAACTGATTGATGTAATTAATATGGATGTATGAAGAACTCACTGTAGATTGTGGACGTGGGCAGGACAAAGAAGGCCGGCAAGATGTTATTTGTGCTCGAGCCTTGTTGATGGACTCGTCTTTTATGTCGAAGGCTAAGAGCCTTCAGTCTGAGGTTTTTGAGTACGTCCTCACGTACAACTCAGAGTGGTTCCAGAAGGACGCATTTTTGTTTTACCATCTCGCGCACCCGTTTGCCGACATGCCGAGCGGCGACAATCTCGTTTTCCAACATTTCTGTCAGGACGACAAGCATCGGATGCCCTGATCCTGGAGCTACTAGTAACAAAGGGCATCGCTACTAGTAGCTCCTGGCCATACTACTAGGAACAAGAAGCTAGTAGGAACAAAGGGCATCGCTACTAGGAGCAAGGAAGCTCCTAGTAGCAATGCCCTTTGTTACTAGTAGCTTTTGTAGAAATCCTTCCACTGACTTTTCAAGAGCCTCAGGCTTGGGCGCGCCTGGCATATGGCCACAGTCCTTTTCTGTGTGAGACTCATCTCAACTTCGAAATTGGTCACACGTATCACAAGAGGTCTGTTTCACATTACACTGTCAGACTGTCACTAGATGAAGGCAAGGCTGGATGCATGTTTGTGCTTTACACTACCGCAAGGTCAGTGTTTTACTGATGACGCTTTCACCCTGTCGAGTACAATATCCAAGCTTACAGAGGCTGGTTTGGAGCCCTTTTGACAGATGGGGATCACCAAGAAACTCGGAAAGAGGATCATTATACAAACAGGAATATGCTATGGATCATGTGTGACCATGCCATGACGCCAATGATGCCAATACAATGATGAGGCCTTTGGTCTCATTGAGCAGCTGCAAACTCAGCATTGGACTATACACACACACACATACATGGAAGTTTCTTGAGATGCCAGGTTTGTTAGTGATTTGTCTCTTGAGGCACAAGACAGATATCGACTCCTACCTCGAAGAGAAGCAAAGAAGAGCTGCCAAGCACGAAGCCAAAGTTGAGGCACTTCACTGACGACATGGTCTTGGCCTTTCAGCTCTCCATTTTACCATGCGCAGAACCTCTGGACTGAGATCCGGGCTGCGAACATCTGCCGGCTGTTGCGCTTTGTGTTTGCAGCCACCACACTTCATTCATGGAATTGGAAGATGCTTCGTCTTTGTTAGGCTGCGAAGCTAGAGGCCAAGTTGGAGTCGAAGGAAGAAATATTAGATGCAAAGTTGGAAGAGAAGGAGGAATTGAAGGCATGGCGCCCAGACTATGGTAAGAAGACAGACGGGAGGATTCCCAACAAAACCGACAAAACAAACGGAGCTAAAGGATGTCATGAGTTGTGAACGTAGAGCCTGATGTTCATATATGTGCGTTCTTATGCTCCCTGGAAGTTGGTCATGCAGCTTTTTTTGGTTTCGAAACGCTGTTTGCAATGATGCATCATGCATGTTGGGAATCAGACATCTATATAGATCCAGCAGACCGCCTTGTTGAGCTTCCCCTCGGTCAAGTTGGAACGAAGGTCTCGTATCTTGGAATCCGTTTTGCCTCATTTATATAGATAGTTTAGATTCATTTTAGTGATAGCAACTCCCTTGCGAGGTTTCATTTACAGTGGCGGATGAATTGTTGGATTGGCAAACTGATTGGTTGATTGGGTTGATCGATCAATTCAGCGAGGTTGAATGATTGACATTAGGGCGTGGCTGTTTCAAGTTTGGCTCTTTCAAAATTCCAGATGCCCGCTTCCAAAACCGCAGCCTTTCAACAAACATTTTATGCTGAGGCCAATGGCAAAAAGGCGAAGCTGGCCGAGCCAGTGGTACCGCGAGCAAGAGTTGAGCGCTGTGTGCCCGGTCGTCGCTGAAAGAAGCGAAAGCCAAGCGAAAGCCATGTGGCTTGCCAAAATTGGGTTTTTGCAGTGGTGTCCTGGCCAGGAACCCAGTGCGCCCGATCCCCAGCTGCCCTCTACATGGGCAACTGGGAGCAAACACAAGCGTTGTGGTATAACTCCACATGTTTTGTCCTTGCTTACTACCAAGCTCATACCTTTTAAAACCATTCCATAGTTTGTAATGTATCACAGGGAAGCTGCTAAGCAGGAACACTGTGACAAAGTAATGACTATTTAAGATCCGGCTATGGTAGCCTCAACCAGTTATTTTTTGCCAAACTTGCTGATTGCCAGGTCTAATGGCCATGTAGAACCAAAGCTCAGAACTGAGACAGCGTACCTTCTGAAACATAGATGCTTAAGTTATGCGTGTTTGTTTTTTTTGCTGAGGCAAGAGAGCGATGTCGAGGACCGCCAGCCGTTGCTCAACAGCGCAAGCAACAACCATAGCCGGTGCTGTTGCTGTTTGTTGGCTCACCGAACATCATCCAACCATGACAACTCCATGACATATCGAAACACATGGTGAAAACGTGTTTCACCATCCTTCTTTGGTGTCAGGACTATTTTGGAGGTGGCTGTGATGAAGATGAGGACGATGACGAGCTCTCGGAAGAAGAAGAATGTTGGGAGCTTGTGTCGGAGTGAATCCAATTCTCAGCACTTGTTACTAGTAGCGTGGCACTTGTTACTACTAGCTTCTTGTTACTACTAGTAAGGCACTTGTTACTACTAGCGATGCACCTGTTACTGTTTTGAATGATTCTGTTTGGCGGTCATTGACAGATGGAGATCACAGCTGAGGCAGCGATGATGATCTCGTGTCAGATGAGGCCCGGGGTGTCCGATGCTTTCACGTCTCAATCAGATCCCGTTTGCAACGAACGCCTAGATTTGAGTAGACGGGCTGCTGATTACCAGCAACTAGGCATTCAATCCAAGTCAAATTACTGATCTGTTCCAGATGAGGAAATGTTCACATGCAGGGATATCAAGCCAACCTGATTGTTTCCATGTATCTTTCCCTAGCAGGAGAAGAAGGACAAGACCAAGGCCCGGCAAGCCGCTTAAGAACAAGAAGCCTACTAGGGGCTCCTGGCATCGCTACTAGGAGCAAG